TATAAAAACATTTACGCTTACAATCTCTCAAAATTAAATTCATATATTTATATATTTTTAACAAATTGAAGTTATATGTTTATGAATTGCTTATATCTTTTTCTTAGTCACTTACTATAATTTTCCTTTAAAACTTTTAACAAGAAAAAAAAATACTTATTTAAAATTTGAAGTGATTTTATGTTTATAATATTTTAATAATATCTACGTTTAAGACTTTCTTTGACTAATTATTCTCTTAATATTTAATTTTAGAATATAAATTTAAAAGTATATATACCCCAACTTTAAATCAATACTAAATGCACCCAAAAAAAATAAAATAATACTTATCATAATTATTTTCTGCCGAATGATTATAGGAATATGATATATAACAACACTTTATCAATAATTTTCAAGGAAAAGTTCCGTTATGGATTTTTCCATTCCAGTTCACCTATATATAATACTATTAAAATTTGAATTAGCTTGTCTATTTTACACCCATTTTGCTTCTAAATTACATTATCATCAAAAGTTAGCTGCATTCTACGCTTGGGTCGTTCAGTTGCAAAGTTTCAAGACTTTTTGTTTCCTTCTTTTTACATGAAAATATTCAATACTTAGTTGATAAATTTCTTAGTTTGTTAATCACTTGATGAAGATTTTGAATTTTTGTTAATGTTGGGAGTCCTCTTTCAATATGATATTTCATTTACAGAGTATTTGTCAGCTAAAATATAATATTTGGATGATGATGTAAGGGCGAGGATTGACTCTATGATATATTATTTTGGTTATGTTTTTATATTTTTTTAGAAAATCTCTTAAGTCTAATTATTCTATTTTTTTATCTTTCACAATTTATTTTCTTATAATAGGAATAACCTATTTAATATAAATATCGGATTACGTATTCTCTCTTTTTTTAGTTGCTGGCAAAATCCGTTATAGCTAGAATTTGAATTTGTTGTTGTAGTATATATTCTAATTGAGTGGGATATTTAGGTCGTTTATATTCTCTGGTTGTAGTGATAATCTTACAATGTTTGAAGGAAAAAATTATATGTCAGCATGGAGATGATACCATAGTCTTTTGGGGGGTGGGTGTGTGTTAGAGAAGTAAGTCTCATCAGGTAACTCCAGCTGCACCAACATATAGTTTGCCAACCAATCTGCGAACAGTTGCCCTCCCGAAGAACATGCATAAACCGAGCATTCCATTGACGACTAACAAATACTCGTATTTGAGTCACTAGGTGGGACTTACAAGCTTCATTGTCTTCCTTAGAAAATAATGCAATGACTTTTTGACAGTCACTTTCAACCAAAACATTTCTATAACCTGTCTCCCAAGTTAACTCCAGCCCTTTTAACACACCCCACAATTTCACTTGTAAAGCAGCACAGTGTCCAATTCTTGTAACAAACTAGCCAAACTACTCTATGGTCATGAAGAAGCCTTCCACAAGCTGCTTCAATTGTTTGAACCTTTGAGGCCCCATATGTATTTGATTTAACATACGAAGTCAAATGAGACTGCCAGCTAACATACCTGGAGGAATGTAGTGGCAGCCTTGCCTTTACGTCTATAAAGGCAAGTTGTATCTCCTTCAAGTAGTCAAGGATTAGTCGAGCAAGGTGGCAATCCCCATTGGGAGAGCTATTGTGGGTCACTTTGTTTCTCCAGTGCCAAATATATCAACAATGAACAATATATAATGAACTCCAAACAAACCCTCCCACACCCATGACATCACAACTCCAATTACAATGACCCAATCATCCCAATTGGCATCAAAGAACTGAGCTAGTGTATCATATGGCAAGAGAATATACCATATATCATGATCATTGGAAAAACTCAAAAAGTATGCAAGAAAGACTCCCTCTCCTGCTAATAGATCGGGCAATAGACATGAGCTGATCCAATCTTTTGTAGGCAAACTTTTGAGAAGTAATCTCCAACAAAACATTTGAATCCGTTGAGGCCCTTTTTATTTCCACAGCCTTTTCCAAACCTCCTTAGAGAAATTGCTATGCTGAAAGGGTTGTTTTGCTAGATGTAGATAGAAATTACTGACTTGTACTACTGTCGTACAACCTAGTAACCAGAAGCTTTTATCCAAGCCATCATGCATATAAGAAGGGATTATGCTTATGATCTTTTCAACCACCTCTGAATCAAAAAGTTATAGCAGCATGTTGTGATTCCACTTACCATCCTGACCAACCACTTGATTAAGGTGGAAATCCCCCAAATCTTTGGGTACACTGCTTCGAACATGATCCAAAAGGCAGATAGAAGACTTAACCCACTTATCCTTCCAAAAGGAGATTGGTCTCCGTGTCTCAGATTTCCCAAACTATGTCATCTTGCATATTGAGCATAATATTGCAGATCAGCCTTAGAAATTGGCACTTGATCAACCTACACCTTATACTTACCACGTAGCACAAGAGACCAACGAGAATTAACTTCATTTTGAAAATGCCAAGCACATTTCATTAGAAAAACATCATTCATCAAAGCTGTTTTCCTTAGGCCAAGACCACCCGTCTTTTTCGGGCTAGTCAGGATGAGGTTGATATGGGTCGAGTTATATGCTCGTGGTTGTCGTTAGAGAGACTCTTATCCGAAATTTTGCTAGAGAAATAGATGAGGTTGTCGTTCTAAAAGAATACCAGTGGTGATAGATATTTCTTGGCAATTCCCCATGAATGATTTTGTCAAGGTTAATTGTGATGGTGCTGCGCGTGGTAACCCGGGGAAAGCTTCCTCCGGAGGGGTTATTCGTTATGCTAAAGGAAGATGGCTTGCAGGCTTTGCATCTAGACTTGGTGTTTCTAATTTCTTCAAAGCTAAATTATAGGGTGTTCTTCGGGGTATGGAACTCGCTTGGAATTATGGGTATAGGCAGGTCATAATTGAAACTGACTCATCTTATATGGTCACTGTGCTCACCTACCTTGGTGAAGCAGCTCGTGAGGGTCATCTGATTTCTCGTATACGAGCGTGGTTTCATAGAGATTTGATCGTTTCTTTGAGACACATACAGAGAAGGCAACATTTGTGCAGACTTGATGACAAATTTTATTCTAAACAATACTGAGAGTTCAGATCATTTTGTGTGTGGAGAGCCTCCTCATGATATCTGTTGGTTGTATTTGGCTTATCTGGCTGCTGTGTGTCGCCCACATACATTGGTCATCCAATAGTCTTTTATATTTTCTTTCTTTTCTTGTTTGAGCTCTATCCCTTTTTATTTATAAAAAAAATCAAGTATTCAAAAATTAAAATAATATTATTTTATTATTCAAAATTATCTAATCAATAATTTCAATAACTTTATTTATTTTATTTAAAATAAATAATATGATGTAGACGATTTATTATAAAAACTTTGTAAGTAATTTTTATTCATTTAGATATATTAACATAAATCTAACTTGATATGGGTCGGGTTATATGCCCGTGCGTGAAAGTCTGCTTGAGATACATGGCAGTTCGTTGCCCATTTACACCTTTAGGGGGCGTTTGGTTGATGAATTTTTTTTTGAATATTAGGGAAATGTAATTACTAGAAAAATGGTTGGAAAGTGAGTTTGATAGAAAAATGTAAAAAAAATTGTTTGGTTGGAAGAAATTTTACCGAAAAATTTTGGTAAATATTATAAAGTCTATGCTTGGTTTGAGTTAAAATATTGATGGAAAAATGAGTTACAACTACTAAAATACCCTTTTTTAAATTTTTTGAATATAAATTACTTTAAAGTAACCGTGGCAGTTGGATATTTGTGTAAAGTTTGAACATGTGTTGAAATATTTACCCGACTAAATACAACATACTACCTCTAAATTGTCTTTCTCAATAGTGACTTGGCTTTAGGGGTGTTAACAGGCCGAGTCGAGCCGAGCTTTGGTCTTAAAAGGCTAAGCCTGTATTTAAATGTGTCAGCCTGACCAAGCCTGTTACCTGTTATGAATATAATTATCGGTCTGTGGCTTGACTTATTTACAAAAATTAAAAGCCTGATTTAGCCTGTTAGCCTGTTTTAAAAAAAATAAGACAACAAAAAATTATCCAAACAAAATATACAATCAACAACACTAATAATTCCACAAATATTCATAAATATTCAAAAGTCTGTTTAATTAATAAAATAGGATGAAATAGATTGAGGAGAGAGAATGCTAGTACAAGTAGTATAAAAAATATAAAATAAAAATAAAAATTAATATATTAGGCCGGCCTGAGAGGCTCTAAGGCCGAGCTTTTGAATTGGAGCCTCAGGCCTTTTTATTAAACGAGCTTTTATACAAGTCCAAGTCTGGTTCCAACAACCAATTTTAGACCTATAAGCTCAGGCCTTCACGAGCCGAGCCAAAAACTTCTGTAAGGCCTCTGGTTTGTTTAGCACCCCTATTTGGCTTCAATTTTAACAAGCAATTATTAAAGGCTATGCAAATAGCAAAGATGAGAAAATATTTCAAATCTTTCTACCAAACATAGATTACATACTTTGCTAAAGTGAGAAATATTTAAAAAGCTTGAATCAAACACCTCCTTATAAATTGTAATGAACAGGATATTTTTTATTTTTATTTTTATTTTTACTTTCCCCTAATTTTTAATAGGGATAGGATATTGTGACACCCAAGTTATGTTACACCCATGTGACACCCAGTCAATCTCACCGTTAGATCGCTTATGTTGATCAAACGGTTATATTTATTTCCATCTTTGTATGGTCATGATTTCCCAAATTTAATATTTTATATTTATTTCTACCTTTGTATGGTTATGATTTCTTATATTTAATGCTTTCACTTTAAATTTGGAAAATTATGACCATACAAAGATGGAAATAAATATAACCATTAGATCAACATAAGCGATCCAACGGTGAGATTGACTGGGTGTCACATGAGTGTAACATAACTTGGGTGTCACAATATCCTATCCCTTTTTAATAAGGCAACGTTGTCGAATTTGAAGCTTCCCCGGCGAAGTGGAAACCCAAGCTCTGACGGTTGGAAATGTCTTCCCTACCAGACGAACTATGGAGGCGAATTTTCGAAATCGGTATCGGAATCAGCGGTTTCAGCTACAAGGATCTCTGCTGCATCTCCATCTCATGCCGCCGCTTTAACCGCCTCTCATGCGAAGACCCTCTTTGGAGCCACCTTCTCTCCACCGACTTTCCCCTAACTCACACTTCTTCTCCCATCGCTTCTTCTTCTTCTTCTTCTTCTAAAACCCTATATAAACTGAGGTAGGAATGTAATTCTGTTCTTCTAATTTTCTGCGCTGCCACCAAACAGGGTCCTTGGCTTTTTGGTATAGTTTTCCTGTCTGGGTATTTATAAAGTTCAGATTTTTATTTTTTATTTATTTAAATTGTATTATGGGTTTCTGTGTTTTCAAATTTTCTGAGCTGCCAAAAAGGATCCTTGGCTTTTTGGTATAATTTTCTTATCTGGGCATGTGTAAAGTTCAGATTTTTATTTATTTATTTAAATGGTATTATGGGTTTCTGTGTTTCCAAATTTTCTGAGCTGCCAAATAGGGTCCTTGGCATTTTGGTATAATGTTCATATCTGGGATGTGTAAAGTTCAGATTTTTATTTATTTAAGTTTTTGCTGGTGAGGTTCGAGAGAGACAAGAAGAGAAGAGTGGCGGCTCATTGGAGGGCTCTACTGAGAAAGGAGAGCCAGATATACGAACATTCTAGAAGGATCCGAGAAATTGATACGCGGATCGCTCAAGAGACCACCAAAATGGAAGAAACTGCTGCAGAGTTGTACAATTTGCGTAGAGTCAGGTACTTCACTTATCATTATATTTTCGGTGCTATGTGCTTAGAAAAATTATGATAGTCATGTAATTTTCCTTTATTTTTAGCGTAGAAAGGTAATGGGGTGGATTGAATTTTTCATTTCATGGGTAACTTCAGAATCAGATTAATATTGCACTTGGTAAGTTAGTGAGTGTATTGGTCATTGAGGGCATAGATAAACTGTGTTAGACCCTGCGGCCATTGCATTGTATCAATTCTTAATTTGTAGTTTTGCTCCGCGTTGTGTTTGCTATAGTCCTGTAGCCTTTAGCATTTGTAACTTCAGTGATGTGTTCTGGTGATGGGTGTCAAAACTCCAACACTAACATACACAGAGTCAGAGATACAGAGATACTGAAATATTTGTATTTTCATTCATAATTTCTTCTCCAATTTGGAGGTAAATTCATACAGCTATAGCATCCTAAAACTATGGAACTACTAACAATATTTTCAACAACTTTCTACTAAATCAAATCAAATCAGAGGATTCTATCTTATACAAACAGTAATTCAAATATGCTATCTTATACAAACAGTAATTCAAATATTGTAACAACTTCTATATTCCACACTCCCCCTCAAGTTGGTGCATGTATATCTATCATGCCCAACTTGTTAGTTACTTCCTTCAAACTTTTTCCGCATACAGCTTTCGTCAACAAATCTGCTATTTGATTTTCGGATCTGATATACGGAGTGCAGATTATTTGTTGATCCAATTTTTCCTTGATGAAATGTCTATCTACCTCTACATGCTTTGTTCTGTCATGCTGTACGGGATTATGTGCAATTACTATGGCAGCTTTGTTGTCACAATACAAGCTCATGGGCTGGTTAATTTTGAATCCTAACTCACTTAGCATAGTTTTGATCCATAATATTTCACTTGTACCATAGGCCATACCTCTGAATTCGGTTCAGCACTTGATCTAGCCACTACTTTATGTTTCTTGCTTCTCTAGGTAACAAGATTTCCTTCTACGAATGTAAAATAACCAGAGGTGGAATGCCTAGTTGTCTTATCACGAGCCCAATCTGAATCTGTATACCCTTCTATGATTTCTTTTTCATGTTTGGCAAATAGAATACCTTTACCAGGAGACCCTTTTAGATATCTCAGAATACGAAATACTGCTTTCAAGTGTTCTTCACTAGGTGAATGCATGAATCTACTCACTACACTGACAGCATATGCAATGTCTGGTCTTGTGTGGGAGAGATAAATTAATCTTCCTACCAATCTTTGATACAAACCGATGTCAGCTTCAGTCTGATTTGGATATATGCCGAGCTTGTGGTACATCTCCATAGGTGTGTCTGCAGGTTTACACGCTAACATTCCTGTTTCTGCCAAGAGATCTAAGATGTACTTTCTTTGAGACAATACAATTCCTAGTTGTGATCTAGCAACTTCAATTCCCAGAAAGTATTTTAGTTGTCCCAATTTCTGCATTTCAAACTCAGTGGCTAATTTTGGTTCAAGAGATTTCATCTCTTCTTCATCATCTCCAGTGAGCACCATATCATCAAGATACACTATAAGGATAGTTATTTTTCCTTTATTTTTCTTGAAGAATAGTGTATGATCTGCATTACTTTGGGTATATCCAAACTTCTTCATTGCGAGTTGTTGAGACTTCAGCAAGTGTACTAGTCGTACAAGTAATAAAATGATAAGTAAAGATTGTTCTTACGAGGATTTGTGTTCAAACACCAACTAACCATTTATAATTAAGTTGAATCAAACAAGAATTCATTGAATGCATTGATAATTGTCACCAGAATTTGAATTATATTTGGAATCAGTAAAATAACTAGAATGTGAATTACAATTTTAAAAACAAGTAGTAAGGAAATCAATATCCCTCAACCATAAACTTATGTAAGAATCGATCCAATCAAGAATTATCTCCAATGTGATGTTAATCAATCTTCTTATTATCACTAAGATGTAATTCCTTACTATCTTAGTTGATACATTAATCAAGAAACCCCAATCCCTTGGTGATTCCCTTCTCAATACATACATTAATCACTGAGATTTTAAAGATGCATCAGAATCCTATTTCCATTCCTGAATAATAGAACACTGATGATGAAATTGCCAGTTACAGAAGTAATGTAAACATTCTTGTTCTACATTACTTCCTTAATGGAAAGAATTAACAAAGACACTTTCATTCCATCACATAAAAGATAATCATAATATTCAATCAACCATACATAAATTCATCCTTGAGTTCCATTGAAATCCAACTACAAAGGACTCTACTCAGACATAGAAACAGAAATAACAAGAGAAGAGGAAAGATCAAACTCCATTGTCATGTTGAGATTTTGGGCTTCCTTTTGCAGCAGCGCGCTAAAACGTTTGCTTTGGACATTTTAGCGCTCAACACTTGAATCCTCCAAATTCTTCAGAATCTTTTTCCTTCTCTCTTTTGCTTCTTGAGATTCATTTTCCTACAAGAAAAATGTAAATTTTCAACAAAAACTTCAGAACTTGTATTTAGGACTTTCCAGGACATTAACCCTCTTTTCCATCCATTTAATCACACAAATTAAGCTAATTCATGCTTTAAAACTTTATAAATCAAGGGTTTATCACGAGTGACAATCTACCAAACCATGCTCTTGGTGATTGTTTGAGTCCATATAGTGCTTTCCTTAGCTTGCAAACTTTATTTTCGTTTGAAGATGAGAACTTTACTCCTGGTGGTATATCCATATACACCTCCTCCTCCAAGTCTCCATTTAAAAGGCATTTTTTACATCGAATTGCTTCAAGGGCCAATCTCTATTTGCTGCCAAAGAGATCAGAATTTGAATTGTGTTTAGTTTGGCTATCGGAGCAAAAGTTTTTTGGTAGTCCACACCATATTTTTGAGTATACCCCTTTGCTACTAGTCTAGCTTTATATCTGTCGATGCTCCCATCCGCTTTCAGCTTCACATTAAATACCCATTTACAGCCAACCGTCTTCTTTCCTTGAGGCAGCGAAGTTAGTTCCTAGGTAGAGTTATTCTGAAGTGCTGTCTGTATTTATGGCTTCTTTCCACTTGGGATCATCCAAGGCTTCCTGCACACTATTCGGAATACACACACTAGACAATTGATTAACAGCTAGCATACATGGTTCGGCTAAATTTTGTGTGGAGATGTAGTTGCCAATTGGATATTTTGTCTTTACCTTTGGGTCAGCTTCATAAAGATGTTTTGGTATTCCTTTGGTGGACCTAAGAGACCTTCTTATTTGCATGTGGGGTATACAAGGTGAAGTAGAGTTACAAGGAGATAAATTAGAGTTAGAAGGATTAGTGTGTACCTCAGAATTGTCTTCTGGTTGCCTTTCAGGGAAGTCCACAGGGGAGATTTCGGGTATATGATTTAGCCAAGGTGTATCATTAGGTGAGGGTGCTTCTTGTTCGGCTTGGACAGCTGCATTTTCTTGTTCAGATTCCAAAACTGCATCTTCTTGCTCGGATTCAAAGACTGCATCTGTGTTTGAGTTGGACAGAGCCGGAGGTGCTACTTGTGTGGATAGCCATATGTCTTCTTCTCCAAATAAAGGTGTAGATGTCTCCCCCTGAGAAGAAGAAACATGTACTCCCCCTGAATAAAAGGGTTCTAACTCGTGAAATGAGGCCTCCAATGTGACATACATCTTGTGGGATATTGGGTCAAAACACCTATACCCTTTCTGAGTGGTGGAATAGCCAACAAAGATACATTTACGGGCACAAGGGTCTAGCTTGTTTCGCAAAGTTTTTGGAACATGAACATAAGTAACACAACCAAAAGTACGAGGTTCAACATTAGTCATGTGAGGGATAGGGAAAAAAGATGCAAGAGTTTGGAGAGGGGTTTTGAAGTTAAGGACACTAGATGGTGTTCTATTTATTAAGTATGCAGCGGAAGTGATGGCTTCTCCTCAATAACGGGTAGGAACATTCATTTGAAATAGGGAGGCTCGAACAACTTCTAACAAGTGACGATTTTTTCTTTCAGCCAAACCGTTTTGTTGGGGGGTGTAGGGACAAGAGGTTTGGTGTTTGATGCCTTTTGACAATAAGAAGTCAGTGAAAACACCATTAACGTATTCGGTTCCGTTGTCGAATTGAAGAATATGAATAGAGGAGGAAAATTGATTTTGGACCATAGCATGAAAGTGTTGGAAAGCAGAAAAAACTTCATTTTTTTTGTTTAAGTAAAGTGATCCAAACCATACGTGTACATTCATCTATAAAGGAAACATAATAATAAGATTTAGAAAATGAAGGGATTTTCGCAGGACCCCAAACATCAGAGTGCACAACTTTGAAGGGGATAGAACTTTTATTCAAGCTTGGGGAAAAAGAGATTCTATGGCTCTTGGCCAATTCACAAACAGAGCATTTAAACTCAGAAATTAAAAGACTGAAAAATAAACTGGGAAACAATTGCTTAAGATAACTGAAGGAAGGGTGTCCAAGACGCCTGTGCCACAACCAAATTGCTTGCTTATCTTTGTCCACTGTAGAAGTGTTGGCAGCATGAACATCCGAGGCACCATTATTGTGGGATACATCCAGGAAGTAAAGTTTCCTTGCCTAACACCATAACCAAGAATCTCCTCGGAGTGGATTCCCTGAAAAAGGCAGTAATCAGGCCAAAAAGTCACATGACAATTCAAAGCAGTGGTTAATTTACTAACCGAAAGCAAGTTACACTCAAGATTAGGTACAACCAGAACATGATCAAGGATTAACAGGGGATAATTGGATAGAACCTTGACCAGTAATAATGGAGGTGCCACCATTCGCGGTGGAAACATGTGATTTTCAGAGTGAAAGACAGAGGTAAGGGAAGAGGGATCACGAACCATGTGATCTGATGCACCGATATCAATTATTCAAGTGGAATTCTGAGAAAGTGTAGAGAAAACAAAGGACTTACCTAGAATCCCTTCATAAATAGTATTAGCAGTAGGGAGGGAAGAAGAGTCATCGTCTGAGGTGGTGGCCAAGGTGCGGTTGATGACCTTCCGACGGGGACGTTTGCTGAAGTCCCACCAATCTGGTTAACCAATGTTCTCATAGCATTTGATTTTTGGGTGACCCGAGTCACCGCAATGAGAGCATTGAAGGGAGCTGGACTTGGACGAATCTTTGTGAGGTCTGTAGGGTGTTGATCCAGAGGGAGGACGCGGCGAATGGGTGACCAAAGCAGTGGAATCCAAGGACGCGGAGGGGCGAACCATGGTGATACGTTGCTGAGCCTCACGCCTAACAAAAGCGTATGTTCGTTCAAGATCCAACTTGGGATCTTTTCGAAGGATTTCGCCACAAACCGATTCAAACTCGGCATCCAAGCCACTAAGAAATATGTGAACCCGAAGCCTAGCCAAGGACGAATGCAGATGGAGAACACCTGCTACAAAGCCCTCCTGAGTGGTCATACGATGATCGATTTCTTGAAAAATCGAGAGCAATTCGTTGTAGTAGATGGACAAGGACCTACCATTTTGTTTGGTGTTGAAAGACGCTGGTTAAGATCAAACAAGCACGTTTCATCCGAACCATCATAGAAGGTCCGAAGAGCAGCGTCCCAAATTTCGTGAGCAGTCTCCAGGCGAAGAAATCGTTGCATCAACGAAGGAGACATGGATTCGATTAGCCAGCTCTTCACCCTATGGTTTTCAGTGAGCCAGGTTCCATAGGTGGGATCTGCAACGGGTTGTTTGGGTGTGTCTCCGGTCAAGAAACCGGATTTGTTGCGAGTGCCTATGCGCATTTCCATTAGTTGTGACCAATAGGGGATAGTTGGTGTCATCGAGGACCACCGTGATAGGGAAGGAAGTATTGTCTTGGTGGATTACAATATTGGACGAAGGATTGGCAGAGGTAGACGACTGGTTGATGGGTGGTTGGTGGTCGGTGTTATTGTCAGTATTATTTTCAGTATTAGGGTTCTCCATTGGGAATAGATTAGGGTAATTGGGAAAGGAGACACGGGTTCGGGTCGGTTTCGGGTAAAGAGAAAAATAAAGATAGGGACAGATACGGGTATGGCCAGTGTTGTTAAAACGTAGTGTCGAAACGGTTGAAACGTACGATTCTACGTTTTTTGACTAAAAAACGTGTTGAAACGGATGCTGAAACGTAAAATGAGTTGAAACGGTTGAAACGGCGAGTCAACTCGGTTGACTCGGCGAGTTTACCGAGTTGACTCAGTGTTCAAAAAAAAAAAAAAACGAGATCTGAGAAGGTGACCGTGTGGGGCTTCTAACCTTCACCGAAATGGGAAAGAATGGAATTGGGTCCAAAAGCATTGGTTCTTAACCATCCTTCACCGTGCGAAGCAACCAGAACTGCTCCTTTCAGCTTCCGATTTATGAGCGCCATCGCGAACCCTGCCTCGGTTTTCATCGCGAACCGCCAAGTCTTGCCGGAGCTTTTGCAATTCACCTCCACGTACTGCGGAGGAGGAGGAGCTTGCGGCGATAGCGATGCTGATGATTCTTCAGCCATCAAAATTCAACGAAGGCGTTGGAATTGGTTTTTTATGGAATTTGTGTGGAGAGAGAGAAGATACCGATCCCATTTTCAAGTTCACCGACAATTTTGTATATATATTCTTTTCTCATTTTCAAGTTCACTGTGAGTTCTATCAATATATAGATAATTCAAAAAATAATTAAAAATTATAAACATATGCATATTATATTTTAATATTTATTATGATTACTGAATATATATGTTTTATTTTAATATATTTTAACATTACTGAATATATATTTTAATATTATATGATTACTGAATATGTAGATAATAACTTATGTATTGGTGTGTTTTAATTTTATATATGTTGAATATATATATATATATATATATATATATATTATACTTAGTAAACTCTTACGTTTCGTTTACGTTTCACGATTTTACGTTTTTGCTCACCCCTACCGTTTCAACGTAGAAACTACGTTTTAACAACATTGGGTATGGCAACCCAAGACCAAGGAAACAAAGGAATGGGGCGGGTATGGTTCGGGTTGGGTGAAAAAAAAATGCGGGAGTTAAAAAACACTTCCCAGGATCATAATGAACCTGATACCATGTCAAGACTCCAACACTAACATACACAAAGAGTCAGAGATACTGAAATATTTGTATTTCATTCATAATTTCTTCTCCAATTTGGAGGTAAATTTATACAGCTATAGCATCCTAAAACTATGGAACTACTAACAATATTTTCAACAACTTTCTACTAAATCAAATCAAATCAGAGGATTCTATCTTATACAAGCAGTAATTCAAATATGCTATCTTATACAAACAGTAATTCAAATATTGTAACAACTTCTATATTCAACAATGGGACTATGTGATTGGTTTTTGTAGACAAGCCTCTGTAGCTTTGAATGTGTGGCAACTGGAGGTTGTCCGGGGTAGGCAAAGTCAGATGTTGCAGCAATGTGTTGTGCCTGCTGAATCTCGGATACAGGCACTTGAGATGGACCTTACTCTTTGTTCGCAACAGATTAAGTGGTTGAAGAATTCTTATGTAAGTGTTGATATTTTCATATGACATATCGTGTATAAAGGTTCAACAGCTTGTTGTTACTTACACAAAATTGTACCAGGAATATGAACGGTGCAGGCTTAAGACTGCAAAGGAAAAGTTAGTATCTATGAAGTATAATCCTGTACAGGAGCATAAGCCTGCGAGTGGAGGGAAGGAGCACATTTTCCATGCTGAGGGAGTTGGTACTCCCTTTCCCAAAAGGAAAAAAGAGAGGATATGAAAGAAAATAATCACAGAATTAGGGAAAATGTAAATGTATTACTTTTTTCCATATTTAGTAAAAGATGTAGCTTCTCGGAGGGGAGAATGAACTCAACATCAAGTGGAAGAACTGGTTTATGACGTTCTTTTGATCCAGGTGACTGACCCTATCTAGTGGGGAAAAAGGCTTTAGTTGTTTTTTTCTCTTTTCTTTATTGATGATAGTATGTTACTGGTTGGCAACAAAATTTGATTTCTTCTTTTGTGTGCATTTTATATTGGAACATGGAAGCACTGGAATTATTTGTCTTTTATATCTGCAATTATAATTAGATGATGAGTAAAATTAACTGGGAAGTTGTTCCTGCCGTGATAACTGGCTGCGCAAATCCTCTGATCATCGCATTTGGTGGATAATGTGTAACAGCAATGCGGATTGAAAACCTGAGGAAATATAAACTTCATGAAAAAGGGTTTTGGAATCATTGTGTAACTTATTCAGATGACCACTTGTTCACTCTGTTGTAGCATGTTGACCTCGTGGAAACCTTGTGAGCTTGAGGGAATCAGAATCATATGAGGGAACAAACCTGTATAGTCATTCTAAATTTCTGCTTTGATAACCATTGATGTTCTGTCGTTTGTTCGTATCATTGTTCTTTTGTTGAATTACTCTCTTCGCATAGTCATGTGTTAAAAGTTTTGGTTATTTTCTTCTGGTTTTTAAGTTAGAGCATTTATGATTAGTTACTGCATTTGCATCCTTCAATGAAGCAAATGCATTAAAAAGTGTTACTAGTTATTAGTTGGCGGAGTAATCATCATATGGTTGACTATGCGTATATCTAATTGCGCCTGGTCTGATTAACTTATGTATTCGCGTCTAATATAATTAAAAACCTTAAGTATATATTATAGAGTTAGGATATTCTAACTACTAAAAATTCTTACTACTAACTTACTACCCATCACGTTACCGTTGGATCAAAGAGAATGTTAAATTTTTTTTGAAAAGAGATAAAATATTAATCTAATGGTGATTAGATAGGTAGTAAGTTGATAGTGAAAAATTTTGGTAGTAAGAATATCTCTCCTCTATATTATATAGATAGGATATTGTTACTATCAATTAGTGTAATTACCAATGTCATTATTAGTTTGTTTTACCGTTAGATTGATTATGTCGATCCAACGGTTCTGATTTAACTTTATAAAAATCTTTTTTCTTCTCCATATATTTAATATTTTATATTTATTTATATCTTTGTATGGTTATGATTCTTCATATTTAATACTTTTACATTAAATATGGGGAATCATAACATTAAATATGGAGAATCATAATCATATAAAGGTGAAAATAAATATAATTGTTGGATCAGCATAATCAATCTAACGGTGAAATAAACTGGTAGTAAAATTAATTGATAGTAATAATATCTTATTTTTATATTATATAAGGAAAAAATATGTATCATTTTAAAGTATATAATGTTGTGTCATTTTAAGTAAAAGAAAGAAATAGATCATGGGGGAGAGAGAGAGAGAGTGGATAAAAAAAGTGTGGATTCTATCTTTTTATGAGAGTGAAATAATACAATTTATGTCATTTAAAATGATAATCTTTTCCCCCATTATATAATTCACCTCTGGTTGAAAAACTGTGTTACAACAATGACACACGGGTTGTTTCGTCTTATCACTTTTCCAATTTTACAAGGTACAACCAAGGCTTCAAATTGTTCTCCGTTCAACCAAGATGATGTTATTAGGGGTGTTAATTCGAGTTAACACGACAAGACATAAATTCGACACACATAAATATATTTAATACAAACACGACATGAATGTGAAATTGGGTTAAAATCTTTGATAGAAACATGATTCATTTATTTTGCTGGTTGACATAACATGACATAAATAACCTATTAATTTCAAAAAAATTTACTTATTATGTGAGACTTGAAATATTATACATAGGCTTAACCTATTTAGGTTAAAATCTATCTTAGCCTGGCTCATTTACCCTCTAGTATGGTGTTAGTGGGTCATGTTGAAAATTGTTGGTATATGTTAGATGCAGTATTGTTGTATAAGTATTACAGAAAAATATTTCTGCCGTTAATGCAGATAAGTTATCTGCATTTATTTCCAAAACGACGTCGTTTTGAGATTGAAAGATTAGAAAATTATAATTATAAAGATTATAATAATCCTGAAATAAATTAAAATTACAAAAACTGAAAAACACCATAATTTTGACTCCAAAACAACTTTGTATTGAACTTGCATAGATAACTTATAAGTGAACCTAAGTATTATATTCTAGATTGCGTTGGGGTAGTTTGCAGCCTTCTGATGATAAGAAACCCAAAGATGGATCTTTGATCACTAACCAAAAAAAAAAAAAATTAAGTTAATTTTCCTCGTGTATGATATTCAAATTTAATTTTTTATAATTTGATAACAAAAAATGTCATCATTAAAATGTGACAATACTCATTTATTTATGAAAAAAATATTGAAATGTATATAAATTTTCAGATAAAATACTTCATATATTTTTTATAATTTTTTCTTTTTAATAAAATATTATTATACTTTTTCACGTTTTGTTTTAAGTATAAGAGTAATTGAATTAATTCTAAGACGTGAATGGTAGGTTAAGGCAGGCTAAATATGAAATTATAATTAGCTAAATTAGATTTAATAAAGGATAGTAAGTGTCATTCTCCAAAACAAATAAGGATATGTTAACAGCTTTACCAAAAAAAGAGAGGATATGTTAACAAAAATAAATTAAATCTCATGGTGGAGGTAAAATATGAATCCTTATTCAATAAGAACATTTCATTTACAAACATAAAAATGCGCATTCCACAAAATGAAGTATATGGAATAGAATAATCATTCAACATTGTATACGTAATATAGGGCTCTATCATTTGGGGAAAAAAGAAATATACAACATCTATACTATATTATAATTTAGAGCCATTTCGTGAAAAGTTTACCACGTATAATTCATACAATGATTTGAATTCTTTTGAAAAGTACAAACTTTTCATTTTAAGCAATTTTTTTTAAAAATTTAAATTATATGTATCATGGGCTAATTGGGATCTGATTCATGGTGCATCTTAATCAATTCAAATATTAAATTAATAAAATTAATTTGAATTCTCATTTTGAATTTGAAATTTGAACTTTTTTTTTGGTAAACAAAAGGCCTAAGCCATAAAACAAAGAAAGAACACAAAAAGAAACCTAACTATTGCAACTCAAAGCACGGGGTCTCCCAACAGCTGATAAATCAGCAAGCAACAGTAACTGGATGCTAGGAGGAGGTTCCTACCAAACAAGATAGTCTTCCTGTCCCTCAGTCTAATATAAAATTCGTCAACCAGTCTGCACACAAGTTACCCTCCCTCAAAGTATGCCTGGAAGTCACAGACCAATTTTTATATATCTTTGTCCGTATACGAGAAATCAAATGATTCTCATGGGCTGTTGCACCATTTCTAGTGAGCACAGTGATCACACTTGTTGAATCACTTTCAATAATGATGTTACGATATCCAGCATTCCAAGCTATCTCCAACCCCTTAAAGACACCTCATAATTCTGCTTTGAGTGAAGAACACATCCATAATTTATACGCAAAGCCACCAAACCACTTACCGCACTCATCACGAATGACACCCCCACAAACAGCTGGACTAGGGTTACCATGCGTAGCCCCATCTATATTAACCTGGATAGCACCCAAATTGGGAAACTGCCAAGATGTGTCTGCTACCATGATTCTTCTATCATAAGCCAGATTTGTAAATTTGTTTGCAGCCTCTTCCACATCCTTTGCAAGATATCAGATTAGGTTTTCCTTCACGAAAACGGGCGTTAACGAGGCAACATGCGTTCTTTCATTTCACCAATGTCAAATCTTCCAGCATGTTAAAAAAAAGTAGTTAGCCATTTTTTATCTTGCCTGTCATTAACATGCATGGCAATATTTTTCGATAGCCACTAGTTCATATCTCCTAAGAAGAAATCATCAACTTTATCACTTAGAACTAGTTTAAGCCATAAAGATTTGGCTTCACTACAGTCCCGAATGACATGTGAAATAGTCTCCCTCTCTAGGCCGCAAGCTGGGCTTATGTCATCTGCCTACCCCACTGTGCCTTTCAAGATCTTGTAAGAAGTCTCTTGTGCATCACTTTCCACATCATTATTTTTACCTTTTGTGGACCTTTCCAGCGCCAAAGGATTGGCCATAGATTATTCTCCTCTACCAATACATATTTTTGCTTGAGAAGCACATCATAAACACCCTTCACCGTAATTGTATTATCACCCTCAAAATATCAAAGTTTCCTATCTTGCTCATCAGCCTCATTCGGAGTTAGAGTGCCCCGAAGAGTGCCAATAACATCCTCAAGAAAAAATTCCTTAAGTATTTCATAATTCCAAGCACCACTAGGGGTAACCATATCGGCGACTGTTACATTATGGTCAATAATTTTCTCCCCCCCTGATAACACGATCTTGTAGCGAGTAACTATGGGACAATCATTTATCTTGCCAGAACTTAATGGACTATCCATCATCAACCTCCCAAACTAGTCTTTCCTCCATGACCTTTCATATTCTACACAAATTTCTCCAAAAATTGGAGTCACCACCACGAGTGACAAAGATACCATCTCTCGATCTTCTTTTCTCATATTTATGATATAGGACCTTCGACCAAAGCTGATCAGGATCCGTGCAGTGCAGCCAAGTCCTCTTTGCAAGGAAGGCATCATTCATAAGTTCCAAATGTTTCAAACTAAGTCTGCCATTCATCTTTGGGAGTGTTATAATACTCCAGTTGATAAGATGGTAGCTTCTTCTATTGTCCTTGTCTCCCCAGGTGAAACTTATTTGAATCTTTTCTATCTCCTTACAAATAGAAGAAGGAATCTTGCAACTTTGCATTTGAAAATATGGTAAATAGGCCATAATCGACTCTGCCAATATGATACGCCCAACTTGGGATAAACATTGTTGCTGCCACGCATTGAGTTTTCCTCTAACTCTCTCCATAATTCTAGCATAGAGGTCCCTTGAACCCTTTCATGTTGCATCATTGATCCCAGGTTACGCTCCACATTTTTAACGTGCTTGAAACCATTCCTCTGAACAATTTTATCACACAAATCTTCATTTGTATTTTTTGAAGAAAAACAACACGTTTTTTTCACACTAAGCTTCTCCTCAGACGCTTCTTCAAAAAGGTTAAGACATCTCATCAAGACTTCAAGTTGATCCTCACTAGCCTCCATGAAAATCATCAGATCATCTGCAAAGGAAAGGTGAGAAATTTGGGGTCCCCTCTTACCCACCCGTATGGGTTTCCACATTCCTCTATTAACTGTAGTATTTATGATGTAGGTCAACTTCTCCAAAGCAATGACAAACAATAAGGTGACAGTGGGTCACCCTGGCGAACCCCCTAGATGGCAAGAAATCAACTATTTTTCCACCATTCCAGAGAACATTATTTTTTGAGGATTGGATGCAGCTCATGATGATCTTTACAATATGTTATGGTAAAGAAATTTCTTCCAATGTTCTCCTAAAAAATTCCCAACTAATTTTGTCATACGCCTTGACTAAGTCGATTTTGATAGCCATGAATGGTTTGTTGCCCCTCATCTTATGCATAGAGTGAATCAGTTCTTGAACAATAATAATGTTATCTTGGATTTGCCTATTCGGGATAAAAATGACTCGAAAAGGTGAAATAATACCTTACATCATCAGTTTGAGCTTTTGAACAATAAGTTTAGTCAACAACTTATATATGACAGGACGCAAGATTTCAGGTCTTGCTCATAAAGATTCATCTCACAAAGGCACTCCAGAAAAGAATGTTGGCTGAACTCCCGGGGTCTACAAATATTCTTTTAACTCGACACTTAACTAAAACCCAAGTGATTAGCAGTCCGTCAGTATGACTTGGGACCACCTTTTCCAAATCTTGTCTTATGAAAAATAATCTTAGGGGTTCGGGCTTGTCCCCCCTTTCTTTGAAAATTGGTTTGTCTCTTACCGACATAACCTCTTTGAGGTATTTCCTTCTCGCGCTAGCAGTATCACCACCGCCTCCCAAAGCTCCACTTATCACATTACAATCAAATTCAGGCTCCTGAAAGTCATCATTTTTGGCTTCGGCATTCTTGCCTTTGCCTTTGTCATCTCTATCTCGATCTATTTGGTTGCCTTTCTTTGGCTTGGGCTTCTACTGTGGCTTCGTTGTCTGCGCTTGCCACCCTTCCTTCCTTGAGTACGAATGAGGTACTGCTTAAGCTTTCCTTCTCTGATGTGCTTTTCAATGGCATCTCGAAGGTCCTAGTATTCGTCAGTGGTATGACCGTGACCATCATGGAAAGCATAATACTTAGAGCGGTGAAGTCCGCCTTTGTTCCTAATAGGCCTCGATCTTTCAACATTAAAATGCTCGATCTGGGCCACCTCCCTCCAAATTCGGTATCTAGCGACATTCAAAGGTGCGTAACTGTCAAACTTGGCTCTCGAAGAGCGCTCTTCTGACCTTCTAGATTGAGGGTCGGCCACCTTCTTGGACCCCACCGATCTCTGTCCCTGTTCCTCTTGTTCGAACTCTGGCAGCGAGGACTTCGACCTCTATTATCACCCTTAGTAACTGCATAGGCCAACACCATTTCTTCTACGTCTAGGTATTTGTCCAATCTTCTTCTAATTTCTTCCAAGACATTGATCGGGTTCTTGTATATGGACTTGGCTAGAGGAGATTCTCCATCTAATCCATAAATAATCAGGTGCAGATGAACTACCTAGGTCAAGTTCTGCACTTTAAAGGAGGCTTCTTTAAAATGATCTAGATATTTACACAGCATTTCTCCTTTCTTTTGACTGATTTGACCCAACGCATATGACGGCATGGGGTGGGCCTTACTGGTGGCAAAGTCTTCAAATGAATCGATTGAATTCTTGGGCAACCTAGTAATCCGAGTCATGGTCGACCAGTTAGGGTGGATGCGAATATTCGAGCCATGATATGTCAAGTTATTTCGTTCAGTCTTGAAAGCCTCCGGATCCTGACTACCGATACACCGGCAGATTGGACTTCTTGAATCTCGGCGGGAACACCATGTTTATAATTTGTCAGTAAATGGGCTATCATTTTTCTGCTCTTTATCGTGTTGAAGGTTGTCATTTGGTCCAAGCCTATTATTGCCATCTCGCCCGTTGCCCTAACCTTTATCAATGTCGCGTGCTCTATCTTGCCGACCTCGTCCATTCTGTCTGTTGCCAATACCTCGTCCATTACCATTTTCCTGATTCTGAGCTTAAGGGTCATTCGAGTTGCGACTCTTGGCATGGCGTGCTAGTTATTCACATTGTGGTCCTGTAGACTATTTTCCAAGGCCTCCATTCTCTGAGCGTCCAGTCGGTGTTGGGCCAGAAATCGATTCTCCATCTCTTCCATCCTTCCCAAGATGACGTTAAGGGCGATTTGTTGAATGCGGTTATCCACCGTGGGTTATGCTTCGCGGTGGGGAGGAAGAGGTCGGTTTTCAGTCGGCTTTCCCCTGTGCCTTGCTGACGCCGAATCATATTTAATGTCACTGAAATGTACCTCTTCGAGCACTGGTTGCTTGCCACCCTGTTCATCCAGTGGCGGCGGTGGAAAGTTATTTGCGGCAATGCTTGTGTGTACTATTACTGGGTGGGAATTGAAATTTAACGTTCCATAGACAGCGCCAATGTTTGGTCCGGGTGGACCTTGAATGTACACTTCAAGTGTGTTAATTGTATGTAGAATCAATACACTCATTGATATATATGAGATAGATGTTGTATGGGTGTATGGATCATTGTGTACCTGTATAATACGGCGTTAGCCAAGACGTGGTGTGTGTGCACAATGATTCCAGAAGTAAAATAGGTTCAAAAGTGTGTACCTGAAATGTTTGGCCTTTATTTATAGTGTTTACCTTTTGAATGTGGACTTTTGATATTTCTAGGTGGTTAGCTAATTGATATGATTGTTGGAATAAACATTTTATCCATTGATCCTCTAGTAACGGGATTGTTAAGATGTACCTCTTAATCTTTTTGTTCAATGGGTTGTCGAGATATGGATCTAGTCCTTCTAAACAAATGTGTCATTAAAAATATAATTTGAACTTTTTTCTAAGTAGGGGTGAAAAATCAGAATTCATTATGTTAGGTAAATGATGCATCCAAAAGCTATCACTGATAGCACCAAATCAATGGAATATAAGAAGATTGTAGTAATGAAATATTGGGATTCGTACTAGAAAAAAGTACAAGAGCAAAACCTAGCACGGAATCACTTCTTAGTTCTTAGGTCCCGAGCTCGTTAATAGCTGAATAAAAAGATTGTGACTCCTCAGGGAAATTAACAATCCCTCTTTCGTCATAATTAACTCCTTCTCTGACACACTTAAAAACACACCTTCCTTCTTAATTACATTTGCGCTTTGAATTTACACCTTTGAGAATATAATTGCAAAGCCATCTTAATTATTTGGCTATGAGGTCAGGCTCTATCATTGTACTATTAGTCAGACCAACCTTTTTAATCACCAAAACATCATGCATAAAAATTAAAACTTTTGTAAGCACGGGAAATAGTGGCAAATGGGTGTAAAGTGAAATACGTGTCCAAGGGTGAATGAGTAAATGGGTAACGTACAAGTGTAGAGTAGATATTTACATGAAGGTCAATTCTATGTGGGGTATACTTGTTTGATGATTTTGATCAACACATTGAAACTCATCTCTAGAAGAAGATGGAAGCCATTCAAGCTTGGTCTTAAATGCTTATTACACATAGGACACCGACTGGCGGTGATAACCCTTAAGAGACGTAAACAATGGTGTCATAAGAGATAGTTATCCTTTCTCAGAAGAGGAAGCAATTAAGAAACTATGGAAAGTGACATAAACTAAATACTAACACACCATTTCAGTACATGACACAGCTTTGGACACATGGTTTCCTCATAAAATAGTCTCTCACATGAAAAAGAAAGAAAATTAATTCCCATGAAATCATGAAGCAGCTGTGTAGAGAAAATTGAACTATGTGATTATTAATAATTACTTTTCAAGCTATATTTGATTTATTATTTGTCTTTCTTGCTTTAGCTAATCCCATCTTCCCAAAATAGCCAAAATGATAACTGAAGAGGCTAAAATTTGTCACTACTAAAAAGTAAAAACATTTCTCCTTATGGAACCTGATAGAGTAGTTGTTTCACACGACCTTAATAACTATTTCACAGGCATAATAATCACCTCAGGGAGGTGAATTTATCTTTACAAGCTGAAAAGTACAAATTAAATATTTATCCTGCACGATAACAGACAACTATCTATATATCATTACTCATTTGCTCAATATTCTCTAAACATTCCTCAAAACTCAGGGTACCCTTCTGCTCTTTTCTTTTCACTTCTGCGAAAATTTCATTTATTGTTAGCAGTCTGTTAAATTTTAGCCACTCCAGACATTCAATTTTACTGTTTGTAGAGGGAAAGGAAAAAATAAAAACTATTAGTTGGAAATAATTAAATTTGTATTCAATTTTATGTTTGGTTAGGGACTTTAATTTTAATAAATCAAAAGCACAGATTAGAAGAAAATAATATATATATATATATATATATATATATATACTTTTATTTGAGCCTCAATTTATTGGACGTCTACCAAATTTATGTATAAATTTAATATGGTGACTAACGATATAAATGGAATAAAGGGTAGGAAATATTCATTTTCTTTGGTGACAAGCCATGGTCCCACGTGACAAAGAAAAAGGAAAAGAGAAAAAAATGTTTAAACTCCTCGCTGACTTTGGTTTCTACATTGACTGCATAATTATAAGGCCAGTAAAATTGTTAGGTGACTCGGGTAAGGTAGATGAATGAGAATAAAAGTAAAGAGCTTCTTTTCTTCTAAGTCATCGAGTATATAAAGCAATCACATGCATTGGTACTATTTGAAAGCTCTTTCTAAAGTTTGGCCTAAAAGAAGAAGAGAGTGAGTAGTGAGTTTTGAGGGAGAAGTTGGAGTGAAAAGAATCCATGGGGAGGCCTCCTTGTTGTGACAAAGTTGGCATCAAGAAGGGTCCATGGACACCTGAAGAGGATATCATCCTTGTCTCTTACATCCAAGAACATGGTCCTGGAAATTGGAGATCAGTGCCTACTAATACTGGTAAATTCAGCTACTTCCTTTTATATTCAATTTCCTTTTCTTGTTTTGTTTAGTAAGCTCTCAAAAGCCATAACAATAATGTAATCTAGTATATTATGACAATGGCTTCTTCTTGATCTATGTACTTTTTTATCTTTGAAATCAATTATAACAATTTATTTTCCAAAAAAGTAAGAAAATCATAACAATTTGAGTCAAACTGATAGTTGAAAACTTTCTGAAGGGTTGTCAAGATGCAGCAAAAGTTGCAGGCTTAGATGGACAAATTACCTCAGGCCAGGAATCAAGAGAGGGAACTTCACTCCCCATGAGGAAGGAATGATCATTCATTTGCAAGCTCTACTGGGTAACAAGTAATCTTCATATATCATAATTCTCTTTTCTTAACAAAATGAAACAGAATTGAAATGAAGAAAGAAACCAATCTGTTATGGAATCAATAACAATGAAGAAAGAAAGAAAAAACTAAACAACCAAATTCAGCCACATAAATAGAGCTCACGTCCCTTTCATAAATTTTGATAAAAAATTGAAAATAAGTTACTTCCATATTATATATTTATTACTTTTATCATATGCAAATGATGAAGTTATTGATTATTGAGCAGATGGGCAGCCATAGCTTCCTACCTTCCGCAAAGAACAGATAATGATATAAAGAATTATTGGAACACACATCTAAAGAAGAAGCTGAAGAAATTCCAAGCAGCCTTAGAGCCTCCTCACCAAGCATCAGATTCCACAACCACTGGTCAGTATTTATCAAAGAGCTTCAATGACAGAAGAAGTTTAGATATCAGCAACGACCATGCCTCATCCACTAGGCTAAGTCAATCTCAGTCCTCAACATATGCCTCAAGCACTGAGAACATTTCAAGGCTCTTAGAAGGTTGGATGAGATCTTCTCCAAAGCCACTCAAAGGAACACAAGATGAAGAGCTTCAAAGCAATGACAGCTTTGAAAACACTAAGCTAGTGAAATCTGCATCAGTGCCTGCTTTACACCTTCAACTTCAGCACAAAACCAAAGATGAACAAGAGGGTGGAGATATAGTGTCCCATGAAGAGTTTGATTCTATTTTGTCTTTTGAGAACCTAAACAATGCTGCTTGGGACAAGTCCACTTGTGATTCTATGCCTGAAAAGTGTTCTGAAGCTTCTGTTCCTGACTTTGCTGACAAGGTTGATCACGATATAGCAGAGAGTCATAGGCAAAAAACTGAAAACTGTGCTCCTCCATTGTCATTTCTTGAGAAGTGGCTTTTGGATGAAAACGTTGGTCAAGGGGATGATATGATGGAATTGTCTCCTATGTTCTAACATGGAAATCACCAATCCCTCCCTAAGTTTGGGATGTGACATTTCAAATCATGATAAGTCTGAGGAAAGAAGAAACTGTTTGATCTATCTGACTAGGGTTTTAATCTATTACATGGGTTGAGGTTCTCAGAAGTTGGGATCTCTCTTTCAACTTGTAACTTTGAAGTATATGAATGGTTTAATTATTTCAAGTACTTAGCTTAGTGCATGTTTCTATTTGCCTTGTAGAAAACTACAAATGTCTACTTGAGGCCAAATAATAAAACAATAACAATTATATCTAAATATTTGACTTATGTTGCTGGCTCAAATAATTAATAATGTTCTAAAATATTTGCATGAGGAACACATTAAAACTTCTAAGCTTTCTTTATATTATTTCTCCTTTTCCTGTTCTTATTTCACATTGTATATTGATATAGTACAGTCTAATGGTGATTGATTAGTGTATGCATCTTAGTAAGTAATTAGCATATATCAGCTCAATTGTCAATAATTAATGTAGAAAGGGAATTATATGACGAGACCATAGTGTCCAATTGTACAAGTTAATGGACACAAAAATACTTTGATATTGAAGCCAGTGAACATCGTTGGCCAACTATTTATATTGTTAGGCTAAACCATTAGTTGAATTATTAATTATTACTAAATCAATCAAACACATGGAAACAAACCATGCCATTTGTAAATTGTCATTGTTACTTTTTTTACTATCAACAATTTAGAAAAAGGGCATTTGAATTTCAAACATTAAGGGATATATAGGTAATACTGGCAAAAAGTGAAAGATTCCAGTGCCATTTGGGCTATAAGACTCAAGTAATTTTTCATTAAGATACAACAAGAACCCACCATTTTTTTTTTCTTACGTGAGATGGGAACATGAATTGAAATTTTACTAATTATATATTAAGCATAAAAAATGAGCTCTGCAAAAGAGGAAGAATAACCATATATGAGTGAAACACGATGCTGTCACGAAAGTCTTGCTAGTAGTTAAGGTAAAATGGGTGTCTGAAAGTCCTTCCCTTTTGGAAAGATTTTGTATGGGAAGCATGTGATTTTCTTTTTACCTTTCGGTGTGAGAAGCTGGCCTCCATTGCTAATATCATGGATACCATATATGTATATAACTTTCACAGGATGCAACATATGGGGTTCGATCCTCTGCTGCTGCTGGTGCACCGTGCATGCAACCATTAACTCTCAAGCCAAGCTGGACCAATCATATCGTGCCATATCTGCCCTCATTTTTAAACGTTCTTTCTATTCCGATCCATTATTATTTTGATATCTTTATTAAGTAGAATGATGAAAATATTAATAGAGTTAAAATGCAAGTTAGTAAAATGAAAATATATACTTTTCCGAACTTGAATATATTTAATCATTTTTTTAAAACTATTATACCAATTTTTTGAAGGACTTATGTTTTATATCGATCGGAAGTAGTAGATACAGTGAATAATTTCTCATAATAATGCTTGATAAACAATGAAATAATAATGATTAAGAATAATAATGACAGCAATAATTTTTTGGGTAATAATAACAGCAATAATTTGATGTTAAAATTGTGGATAGCCTACCTTGACTTTAAGACTATATTTAATGCCTGCAGCTTTGGGACTAAATGCGGCATGTTGTGATTGGCAGTGCACAACTAGAGATGAGGTGCATCATTTAATATTTTTTATAAACAAATTTATATATATGAAATTTATTATAAGCCTGTGGAGTGAATAGGAAACGTGAAAACAATTATTTCTTGTGGAGTTGTTACTTGTTAGTAGTGGCCTATCTTTATCTTCAAATGAAATCACAATTTGCCAATAAAATTAACAAGACAAGACACTCCGTGACAAAACAAAGTTCCAGGATTTTGACACAATTCACATCCTTTTATTTTTCCAAGGTATTTAATCTCTCTCATATATATTACTATCACATTTAGGAGTGGTTACATTATTAGACTCTATTTTTAGCAAAAATTGTAGCATAGGAAAGAAAATTTCATTATCCTGTGAATATATCAAGGAGAGAGAAAGCATGTGAGTGATGTAAGCTAACTCAAGAGTAAAAAAGTGAAAACTCTAAGTAGAAACGGCAAATAAATGAATGTGTAGGGATGTGGTAGAGGAGTGTTGGATCATTTATGTTGTTGCGATGAATATGCGCAGTAGGCCACGCTTTTTCTTCCTTGTCTACTTTTCTGGGTAATGATATGTGGGGTTCCCAATTTTGCTGCCCTAATAAAAGGTTGTTTTCGTCTATATATTGATGTTCAATTTCCTCTATCTTCTATACGGTAGTTTATTTATTCACTCTGACTTGCTCCGCAGAATCCATTAATATAATAACATAGCCAATCCACAAACTGGTGATGACATTGAAGTCATTCAGCCTTTCACTTTATATATTACCTTAATTGTGTGTATAAGATTTACTAACTTACTAAAAGTTTTATATATGTAAGATTCATATAAAGTTATACTTTTAATTTTAGTAGTTGATATCACTTGCATTTGATGAATCTATTTTAATAGTTAAGTAAGTCCTTAGATGTAAAGAAATCAATGATTAAGAATAGATGTAAGATTTCTTATATACCGGTTTATGATAAACATGAAACCAATAAACATGTCTATATATATATATATATATATATATATATATATATAATGCAGGATCTTTTTACACGGGACAGAAATTATCGGTTGGTATTTCTAGTGTAATTAATGATTAATTAATTCATATGACTTCTTAAATTATACCTGGTGGATGCACGAAAATCAACGGTTAAGATATGGTGTAAGACTTATTAATCTTACACCGGTGTAAAATGATCCTGATCCTATATATATATATATATATATATATATATATATATATATATATGTGTGTGTGTGTGTGTGTGTGTGTGTGTGTGTGTATGTGTGTATGTATGTATGTATGTATTTATGTAGGGTTTTATAACTCTCCTGTCACTGTAAAAAAAACTTCTACAACAACACTAGGATACGGTTCTGTATCCTGGTGTGCTTTTTTTTTATAAAAAAAATAAAGCAAGTGGGATCCACTTACTTGTATCTGCTGCACCCAATAAAGTTTTGCAGCAACTGCAGAGATGCAAAGCATGTATATATGTGTGTGTGCGTGCGCGCATACACTTTACTTTTTTCTAACCGCTTAACTTTCAGTAAATAAATTTGGAGAATCATAACCAATACAAAGGTTGGTAAAAGCATTAAATGCTGGAAATTAAAATCAATCAACGGTGTAAGATCTATTACTGGACGTCCAGCAGCCGGAGAAATAATTTTATCTATATATATATATATATATATATATATATATATATAGAGGAGGGGAGATTATCAAATTACTAGTATGTAAAAATAATAAGTTTTGGACTACTCAAAAGAAGAAATAACAAATCTTAAATTCAATTTTAATTGTTGATCCTACTTGTATTCAACGGTTTACAAGACATAATAAATTAAAATCATTAGATACAAATGAGATCAATTGATAATAATAAATGTAAAAATTTACACCAATATAAATTAATTCTTTTTCATAAAATTTTTAATATGGAAGATGATCCTTTTACATCAGTATAATAATAAAAAATGTACATGCCATATTCATCTAATTAAGCTAATGATGGAACTAGATCTAACGACTCTAAAGTGATACAGAGAAAACGTGACTTAATCACTAATTATTTGTAAATTATATATTCGTTATATTTAGGAAGATCAACGAGTCAATGGAGTGTAAGACTTTTATTGCTATGGTGTAAAATGACATGCAATTCTGTGTGATTGGATGAAGTGTCGGTATCTGTTGTCTGAGAAACTAAGTGTGAAACTGTACGGTTGTACAACTGTCTTTCATAGTTTCATTCAGGACTGAGTACCGGAGATTCCAGATCTGCCTCCTTGTACCCCATGCATGCGCTGTGGCAACTTGTTTTTAAGGTACCCGAAAAATGTGTATTTCTTTTTTGGATTCTCTTGAGAGTATAAATTGTACATCTCTCTCTCTCTTTCCTATTTTGAATTTGTAGAAATTCCTTTTGGATGCCATGGGAGACTGCCATTTTTATTAATGAAGATGAAGACAGCATTTAGCTTCACATGTCAAGAATAAAAAAACACAAGATTTGTAAATAGATTTGATGTTTCACATGTTGAAAAAGATAATTTTTATCTCCTACACATATAAAATTATGTGTAACACATATGAGTCTCGCATATGTAAAAGATAAAAATTATTTTCTAACCTTTGTAAAAGTATGCAACTTCTTCCTTCATTTTAATATAAGGTCGTATTACCCTATTCGTAAGGGATTGATCAACCTTAACTCAAAAGTTAATTTTTATATTAAAATAATAATATATAATATTAAAAAATAATGTCTTTAATTAAAACGTATTAGGGGGATATTACACACTTACAGTAGAATAAAAAAGGCCATTATTAGTTTACCAAAAAAAAAGTCCGTTATTATAAATTATGTAAATATTAAAAGAATACCGAAGTTAAAATTTAAAGTGAAAATGAAAGAAAAATGAAAAATAGATAAATATAATTTGGTTATTTAAAAATTTATTTTGAATAACATGTTTAAACTTATTTTTAAGTTTTGAGACGTCTCATAAGGTGGATCAAGTATAAAGCAAGATTGATTTTAACAACAACAAAAAAAGACATTCCTCAATGTTATGAGTTCGAATTCATATAAAAATACTTGTGAAAAGGGACAACATAAGTATCCTAAGTGAATATTAATCTCAAATTGAAATGATAAAAAGAAAACTAAATAAAAAAAGAGAGGAAAAGAGGGGGGGCCGCCGGGGGGGGGGGGGGGGGGGGGGGGTGGTCCTTTCATAAGGTGTTTTCTATGTTAAATGCATGTCCATGACTCCCCTCTTTGTATTGGTCAGTGGGAAGAAAAAAAAGAAAGAAAATGGGTTGCTAAATACGAATTTTTGAAATCTTTTATATTCTTCGAGTGTAGGATCGAACATAACTAGCTGCAGGTAAATTGCTTCTGAGACTGCAAAGTTGAAAAGTGACCCAACGTATTTTTGGCAAAGTTGAATGCACACTGATTGTCATATAAGACCCATTAAATCCCTATGAATTTAACCTCTAGATACGTTTTAATGACAATTCAATTCAATGAGTAATTAGGTTACTTTTTTCTCATGCATAGGCGTGTTTCCAAACATGAGTAACCGCGAAATCCAAGAA